AAACCACCTGATCCAGGACTTTTCTTGTTCTTGGATGGAGTTGTAGAATATCATGGTAAGTGAAGTAAGCCAATCCCCCAAAACCAAAGGCCAAATGTTCTAAGTGGATGCTGATCCATAATTGATCACATGCAACCAGGAGCCAGCTTGCTGAGGGGTTCAGAAAACAGAACATGTCTCTGGGGACACTGTTACAAGGTCTGGGTGGAGGAAGGCCATAGACTACAGCCTCTGGTGGAGGGAATGCCTGTCCCAAACATGCTGCCAGTCTGTGCCGCAGTCTGGCTGGGCAAAATAACTGGGAGGTGACAAGCAACTTGAAGCTTGAAGCGGGAACTGCTTTATTGTGGGGGAAACTCAGTGGGAACTGAGCAGGAACTCAAGATAGCGGGCACTCAAGGTAGCAGGAGCCACTTTATTGCAAAATAGCAGAGGTATATATACCTAACTGATTACACACAGCTTGACTCAATTAGCATCATCCAATTACAGCAATCAGCCAATAAGGAATCCCTACCATCTTAATGGCTTGGTGGCGTTGCCTCACAAACCACTCCTCCTGGCAAACTGCCAGGCACCATCTTGACTTGATTTGCGGTCCCCAACAAGTCTGAGCACTGGGGGGCACGGCTGGGTGGGAGCACTATCAGCACTAATTTTTCTGAGGTATAAGAACTCTGTTTTTAGTAGCAATTATATATTTAAAGGTTAACAATTTTATAGAGCAAATGTTTTAACTATACTGTTTCTACTTTATACTCACCACTTACCATATTTACAAAAGGCTGATGTCTACCTAAAAAATGATCTTTTTTCACTCTTCCCCCACATCTTGGCTAAGGTTTTTCCCTGTCCTTCATTTCTGAACTCCTGGGAAGGTGCAGGAGTTTTAGACCAGGTACTTACGTCTTTTAGATAGAATGCCTGATTTTAAGTGAGTGCAAAGGATAAGATGGAATAATTTTCAGCTCAGATGTATTCCAGTGCCCCAGCAGTACTTGTTGACACCTTAGGAAAGATGAGGCTCTCACAGATGCCCTCAAAATCTTAAGCCCATGAGAGGTGAGCAGCGAGGTTGCCATCATGCTCCATGTGGGACAGTCACCCCTGCTGGCCCTGAAGGTGGGACTACAATCCTGTGGTAATTGGTAAACACACAAGTTTAACAGAAGATTGGGCACTAAATTAAAAAACTGAAAATGTTTTAAGAACAATTTATATTGCGGGAAATATGGTTCCAAGGTATTCTCTGTAAAGAGAGATCAGCGATAAAGGGAAGTAAGAACTGAGCATGCTACATAAATTATGTGAATACTATCTTCATGATAAGATATAATTACTATATACATTTTGTTAACAATATTTCTCTAAAAATAACCAAATCTTTAGAATAATATTTTTGTGTTGAATGACTATTGAATTTTAGGGGAAATGGCAACATCATGTTGACGGGGCATAATACTAGTTATGTAAATTTAGACAAATGAGTTGACAAATTTCAAAGTAGCAAATTGAAATCCTTTGTTAAAACAGTTAAAGGCCACACGGAGAAGCCTAAATGTGCAATTCATGAGTTAAAATTCTGATCCTTTGAATCAAGTTATGGAATGGAGGGATATCTTTAATGCCAGGAATATTTTCATTAATTCCCACCGCAGGAAGATTTGTTGAACATGTTCATGCTGCAAATGAGTGGAACGTGCCTACAAGTAAAGACAAGACCCAAGTAAATGGACAAATATTAAAAAGGAAAAAAAACAACAACAAAATGAAACAAAGCAAACTAAAGTAAAACAGGGGTGACAAAAAGACAAAAATGACACTGGGGTGGGGATGGGCCCAGTTAAGGAAAAACTCCACACGGAGTTGGCTAATTAGAATACTTCACACTGTTTTTTTTTTTTAAAAGATGACCAGAAAGTATATGAAAAACATGTAAATTATTTACAATCATTTGGATGTGTCATGAGCATGAAGAACCTGTCCCCGTGAGGTCACATGTTGGGGAGGTCCTCCTAGCCAGTTGGGACCAATTGGGATCTGATCCAAAAGGGGCTCCTCCTGAACAAGTGGCTTCAGAGGGGTCCCCCACAATACCACTCAGCCAGCTCTCAGAGGGTCCCAGGAGCCAGCCTGCCGAGGGGTTCAGGAAACGGAACATCGACTCACTGTCTCTGGGGACACTGTCACAGGGTGTGGGTAGGAGATGGCCACAGACTACAGCCTCAGGTGGAAGAAATGCCTGTCCCAAAGGTGCTGCTGTCTGAGGACTGGGGGGCACAGCTGGGTGGGACGCCCCTGGGTGGCTCCATGTGGGCTGTCCCACTCTCTGTGTGAAGAGCAAGACCCGCCCAGTGTGTTTTCTCCTCAATGCCTGGTGGAGGCAGGGTCCCCTGTCCCACAGCCCCTCCAGCACAGAGTGTGGGGTTCCATTGCTTGCACTGCGCTCAGAGCTGCTCTGGTGGACAGCACACCCTTGCCAGAGCCACCTTCCTTCCACAGGTCAGGGGCTAGAGTGGGGTTTGGCATCTGCTGGATGTGGCTTCTCCAGCTGAGCACTGTGAGTCTGGAAGGTATCAACAGGATTGATTCAGGGGCAGGGGACCCACTGTGACATGGTCCTGAGCTCACACTTCCTGACCATTGACCTCTGTGTACCCCCCTGACTGGTGATGTCCCACGTTTCAGTTAAGTGCTGCTGTCCCATAGTTCCTGTGAGTTCTGGCAGAGTCCTTGCCCCTCATGCACTCACCCTGGTACAGGTCTGGGTGCCTGCGTAGGAGTCTGTGGAAAAGGTGGACAGCACAGGTTTGTCCTGTGAGGCTGTTCTGAAATGACAGGCAGCCTCCTCCTCCTTAAGTGCTCTGTGCCAGGAGCTCCTGACTGCCATGGGCTGAGAGCCTGTGCCTTTCAGTCATAGTGACTCATTAGATGTTGTTCTAGATCCGTAAGAATGTGGTTCGTTTGCATTTAGTTTTCTTCTTGGGCTACTGTGCTCATGGGCACATGTTGCGGCCTTTGAGAGTCGGAGGCTGTGTTTGCATCTCAGCCTCTGTTCTCCACAGGGCCAACAGGCCTCCACCACAGGCAATTAAACGCAGCCCCAGGGCCCATGTCCCCCTGGTATTTAGCTGTCCTGTGGCAGTTGGGGTTCCCCAGTCAGGGACACTGGTCTCCACTGTAATTTCTAGCCAGAGGGACAGTCAAGGGCTCTCTGAGCGTTCAAGGCTTCCTCTCACAGGTCTACTTCTGACCATCTGGTGAGGACGCTCCCTCTGGGCTTCCCATGGTGGGAGGGGTCTGCAGCAGCAGGTTCCCCTCTACTTTTCCACAGCACCTCAGAGGTCACCTAGCATTCCCTCCTCCTTCTACTGTCACCAAGGCAGGTTTCCATTTCCATGTGATCTAGTGGGAAGCAACTTTCCACTCATAGTTCAGCAAATCAAGCAAAAATGGCTTTAGTGCCTTTGTAACATCACCACTAGAGTCTATGCTGAGGGGTCCGTAGGAACAACTGTGAGCTGACCCTCATTGGTCATCGCCATCACCACGCACATCCTCAGTTATTTGATCAGAGTTGTACTTAATTAGCACCATCATCGGAAAACACCTTCTAGCTTTGAAAAAGCCCTGCATTTCCCCTCATTGCCAACTGGTCAGTATTGGTATGTTTTTGGTTGTGTTTTGTTTTGACTGTTTATTAATTTTTTATGAACAAATATGCCATCAATCAAACTTTAAAAATATATCTATTAATCAGTCTCCTATACTTACAATATTTCTACTTTTTAGATAAATACATTCAAATTTTCTTCCTGATACTGAAATCTGTCCATGCAGAGTAGAGCAATATGGTTTTCTGAAATTGTCATTCTGCCCATATCTTAAGATTTCATTAATGGATTTAAATTCCACAAACATTTCTATTATTTTAATTTAATTGACTAACATGAAACTTTAAAAATCATTTTGCTTTTTTACATTAAATTTACTTATTATCTTTATATTATATTCATAGTTCAAAGTTGTTATCAATAATAACAATAGAATGTGACAATTTAAAATACAGAATTTTAGGAAGAATATCTCTCCAGTATGATCAAACATTGAAAATACATCTTAGGATACAGTGTGGATGCATGTTTCCTTTATGGAACCAAATAAAGAGATTGAATTGAGCTGACCAGATGTAATATGTAGGCAGACAGCTGGGTTTAACCTGTTCATTGAGACACTGAAGACTTTACTCAGCAGAGCTGGTGAGAATTCACAGCCTTGAAAATGAAACATGGGCTATTGGCTTGTGACATGCACACAAAGGCTCATCCCATGCACCTGGCCACTTAGGGCATTTCCACAACAACAACAAATGGACCCAGTTGGGGGAATCGGCGATGCTCTTGCAGCCAATATGGGGCTGGTTCTGAAGGACAAGAACTGGTGGCCACCACCACTTCCTCAGTTGACATTTCAAGTTTATCTCTTTTATTTTCCAGATATATTGAAGCATTAGTTTGCTTCCTAGTAAATCTAACAGTATAATATTTTTGGACTTGTTCATTTTCAAAATAATTTAACTGACTTAATTATATACAAGATTAAATATTTATTTCATACAAAAAATACGATTTGATCATGCAGGCTAGTTGCTATCTTCATACTTGATTTCTCAATATCTCCCTCAGGGCATACTTAGCATTGATGTCACTAAATATTTAACAAGTAAAAAATGCCCAGTCTATATAGATTCTCAGCAAATATGTTGAACTCCATCTAAGAAAACATGCAGCTGCTAAAGTTCCTTACAGATTTTTTTTTGGAGGGGGATGATTAGAAAGTGTGACACAAAATTCAAACCAGTTGCTTGATAAGACTGAGTTTGCAGCCTCACAAGGGCCATTCTGCAGCAGGCAGTCTGCTCTGCAAACCAGACAGGCAGGGTTTGGTTCAGGTTTGAAAGTCACTGGGCAAAACTAGAATCATCCTCTGATGTATCTTGATTATGCTCCGGAATAAACCCTTCTCAATATGACTTTCCGCACAGCTTCTTTTACCTGTTTGTTTCTGAGACTGTAGAGGACAGGATTCAAGAGGGGAGGAACAATAGTGTAAAACACAGAGAGAACTATGTCCTGAATCGCCTCAGAGGTCACTGGTGGCCTTAGATACACGTAAGAGATAGAACTAAGGAAGACGGTCACCACGAGGATGTGGGGGATGCAGGTGGAGAAGGCCTTCCCCTGCTCCTGTGTGGGGAATCTGACCACAGTAGAAAATATGCGCACATAGGACATGGCGATGAAAACAAAGCAGCCTCCACAGACCACCACAGCGGAGATGAGAATGGAGAGCTCATTGCTGGACGTGTCAGAGCAAGAGAGCCTCAGCAGGGAGGGGATGTCACAGAAAAACTGAGGGACCTCGTTGGAGCCACAGAAGTTCAGCTGTAATGTGTTTCCAGTGTGTGCACCTGCGTAGACCAGGCCACTGAGCAGGGAAGCCAGGGTCAGGCGGACACAAAGTTGGAGGTTTATGATAGTTGAATAATGGAGGGGCTGGCAGATGGCCACATAACGGTCCCAGGCCATGATGGTGAGAAACAGAATCTCCACAAAGGCACAAAAAATGACCAAGAAGATCTGGGTTGCACAGCCAGCCACTGAAATGGCCCTGTGGCCAGTGAGAGAGTTGACACAGGCAGTGGGGACAGTGACGGAAATATAACACATGTCCAAGACAGACAGGTTCCTGAGGAAGAAGTACATGGGCGTGTGCAGGTTCTGGTCAGCAGTGGTGACGGTGACGATGAGAAGGTTCCCTAAGAGGGTGGCCAGGTACATGAATAAGAATAACATGGAGTACAGGAACCTTAGTTTCCAGCCTTCAGCAAAGCCCATGAGGAGAAACTCGGTCACCATGGTGGAGTTGGCCATCTTGTGGAGATGCTGTCGACTGGGAGGCAGAGGAAAGAAGACAAGGGGCATACAGAAGTCAACAACCATCTCAGATGTTCTTCCTCCAAGTGTTTACTGCTGTGTTAGGTAATCTGTGCATGGAGGGACGTCCATTACTGGTCTCCTGATTGGCTTTACCACTTCTGAGTAGATTGGACTCAGTGCTCAGGAGGTTCCCTGTCTTCTGTAACACCCAGCACTGTGTCATCATCTCAATGAAGACTGAGTACCCAGTGCATCTGAAATCCCTGTGTTAGAGTAAGGTCCCAGTAGTTCCACGAAAGTGTCATTAGGAGCTGACCAGCACATTTGGGTGGAAGTGGACACTCAGCAAGGATGGGCTCAGTGCCCTCCAGCATGGTCTTCCTGTCATCAAGACACATGCCTCTATTTTGTCCAGTCCCTATGTGCAGAAATGAATATTGAGAGTCTCCACACATTCCTAAAGCCTGCCACTGCCCTGACTTGAAGAATGGGTGGTAAGCTGTTGATTTATATGTGATTTTACAATGTTGTTCTATGGAAATCTTTCAGTTCTGCAAATTATGACTCAGTGAATGCTTGGAGCTAAGTTGAAGCTGTAACTGAATTTGAAGTCACAGCTCGAGGTGAAGTAAGACCCCTGCAATCATACCCAGTCTCTTTGAAAGCCTCTGCCACATCCACTCTCTTTGGCTGTTTTCCTCATGTTCTGTTGCTTACCAGAACCTTCTTCTCCAAGCTCTTACCTCCATGAACTGTAGGAAGCTGCTGTGTGCGGTCAGTTCTGGCTGGGTCTGGTAGATAGGATCTATTACTTTTAGTTTCCTCCCTTTGTTTTCATGAACATCACAAAGGTATTTCAATCCTTTCCTAGTAAGAAGTTCATTAACTGTTGACTCCCCACTTGAGGTACAACCCTGCCTCGCTAAGTCCTGAGAGTGGTGGCATGGCTATTTGCTGTCTGATTTTTCCTTGCTCAAGTTTCGAGTCATATTAACCGGGCTGTCCCTGTGAGGACCATGTGTTTTGCTAACTTTTTCCAGAATTCTCCGAGATTTGCCTGTGTATGCACCTGTCTCTATCAATCAATTGTTCCTTTAAAAATTCCTGTGGTCTACTGTGATTTCTTTTGTATGTTATGATGTTGACTTTATATTAATGTCTTTTATCTTCTTTATAAAATTTACATATATACAACTATGCACATTATTCAAGTTAAAATTAAGCAAAGTGGTTTGACACTAAAACTTTTAAATTCACAGGGACAGCATAAAGAAAGACTTATTCCCCACGTTTTAGCTTTCACGGTATCTGTGAATGCACTCCTCTCCCTGATAGTGCCATTGGGGATTTAGAAATATAGCAATAAAACATTTGATAACTACTCTCCATGCTTCTATTCTCTTATGATTTCAAGACAACAGTTCTGACTTCTTCTTCTAATAAAATCACTTTTTTTGCCACCTCACTGCAGCTGGGCCATTGGTTGAATACTAAAACACTCACTCTGAGGGTCGTGTGTTCTCCTCCTGAAGTAAAGCAGTCTCCCCTGCTGTCTTCTCCAAATCTCTGGCTGAAATCTGGTCTCCCAGGAGTTTCCAGGCAGACAGGCTTTCAGGACATCTCCAGAGGCACACAGACACAGCTTCAGGTTATGCAACAGGCTGGTGTGCTCTCTTTATATAAAATGTGACTGTGTCCCTGCAGTCCCCAGAGGTCCTCTGGGAACACAGCACCCACCTCCTGATGATGGGGCTAGCTCACAGTGACTCAGGCAGGCAGTGCTCTCCAGAGCACAGGGGAAAGACCAGTCAACTGCATGGGGTTGAACGAGTAGACATATTTTACTCTTGCAGGTGTGTGGGGATCATGGAATCAGGCACTGTGGGAATGGGGAACCCAGCAGTCCTCCCCATGTGGGGGTTCACTGGGGCTTCTGTGTGTGCCTCAGAGACCAAGTCCTGCATTCTGAGGGGCCCAGATGCCTAGCCTGTGCCCTGTGCCTCTAATCTGTGATACCCTCCACCATTCCCTCTCTGAATGACAGGATTGTATATTTGTCATGTTCAGATTGGAGAGAGTGACAGAGCTCATTGCTTGCATGTCTTTAAGAACATATCACAGCGTCTTACATAAATGGAACTTTTGAAAGCTATGAATAAATATAGGCCAGGACAGTGTGGAGGACAGGGTTTAGTGCCAGGGCCATTGTGGCTGGATTCACACTTGAGACTTGACACCAGCTAAATGGATCTGGATATGTTTTACATTCCTGCCAAATAAATTCACCCCTGTAGGGTGAGCTGTCTGGTGGCTTTCAGGTCATTCACTGTGATGCACGAGCACCAGGTCCTGACTCCCCAACTTCTCCCGACTGCAGACAGAGTCCCACACCCGTGGGAGGCTAGATCTCCTCCTATCTCCTGCTGAAGCCTGTGATAAATACTAATCTTCCTCTTTTCCTATTTATTTTACTATGTGTATTTAATGGCTGTGGTCCTACAGTATGTGAGCTGCTCTTCTTCCTCTTTCAGATTCCACAGTGTTTTCAAGGGTATGCACTTCGTAGCACGTGCCAAAACCTCATTTCATGAATGACTCACAGTATTCACAATATTCAACAGGGGCCACACTTGTTTATCCTTCATGCACTGCTGGACCGAAGGGGCTGTTTGGGCCTTAGCCTGCTGTGCACCATGCTGCTCCGCAGATCCTTGCCCTATTTGAGTGTCTCCTCCTTCCCTTCCCTCCTTTCTTCTTCCATCCCCCTGTTTTTCTGTCCTTCCTTCCTCCTTATTCCTAGTATTATAAAAGGGACTTGAGATGCCAAAGGTGTAGAATGTGTATTTGAAAAGCATCCAAAACCTATGGAAGGGCACACCTCTCAGCTTTTGATTGTCTGGGGATATCTTTATCTCTCATTTCTAAGTAACGGCACATTCTGGGTGCAGAGTTCTCATTGGGAAGTATCATTTCTTTAGTAATGAGAACATCTCATCCCACTGTACACTGCCCTATAAGCCCTCTGCTGGGAAGTCCTACTTAAGGGAAGAATGATACTGGAATTTTTAAGCAGGAATTCCATTAAGTGTGTCTGTTGCTTGGGAGACATGGACACTTTTGTTAATTCTTCCAACCTGTGAACACAGGGTGTCTTTCCACCTGTTTGTGACTTCAGTTTATTACATCAGTGTTTTATGGAAGTCTAGGCAGATATTTCAGCTCTTTAGTTACATTTTCCCTTGATTTTGGTTGTGTATTGAAATAAAAAAGAAGTTACTTTTTTTACTTCCAGTTATTTTCTTGTGAGCCTATAGAAAACCTGCTGACATATGGATGTTGATTTTTATTTGTGCAGCTTTACTGAATTCTCTCATTAGTTCTAATAGAGTTTGGGTAGCGTATTTAGGTTTTATGTAGTGTCACACATGCCAAATGGAAGCATTTACTGTCTCTCTTTCTGATTGGCACCTCTTATTTTTCTCTTGCCTAGTTGCTCTTGCTAGGACCCTCAATAATGCATTGGTAGAAATGGTGGTAGTGGGCTTGTCTTCTTCCTGATGTGGGAATAAATACTGTCAAGTGCTTGCTGTTGAGTGTGCTGTTAGCTGTGTGTCTATCACTCACACCCTTGGTTTTGTGGAAGTACAAGCAGGAAGCCCAAGACAAGTCGAACAGACTTATAAGTATGGAGTGTGAACCAGTAATGAAAACATCTCCCAAGAAATAAACACTCAAAACTTGTAGACTTCCTGGCTGAATTCTGCCCATCTGTCAAGGATGGATACTAATCCTTCTCAAACACTCCCAATCAATTGAAGTGGAAGAAACACATCCAAACTCATTTCCCAAGGCCATGAATACTCTGACACCAAAGCCAGGAGGTGTCACAACAAGATAATAAAAGTAGCTGTGTATCCCTGATGCAAAAGTGTTCAACCAAACCAAATTCAGCAGTACATCAAAAGAAGTCATATGCCATGTTCAAGTAGGTTTAATTTCTGGTTGCTGGGATGGTTCAGTATCTATAAATCAACAAAGGCCACATTAACAAAGTGAAGGTGAATACCGAATGATTATCTTAAAATTTTGACAAATTTTAAAATCTTTTCATGATAAAAATTCTTAACAATTCCACAATTTTGTCATTAAGAATTAATTTCATTGCATCCAATTAATTTTATAGGTTTTAATTTAGTTTCAGAACATATTTAAATTTATATTGTAATTTCCTCTTGACCCATGTATAATTCAAAGATATTATGCAATCTTCAGATATTTTGGGATTTTTATGGCTGTGTTTCTGCTGTTGGTTCCCAATTTAATTCTATTGTGGTCTGAGAGCACATATTTTATAATTTCTATTCCCTTAATTAAAAAATTTTAGTTGTTGATGGACACAATACCTTTATTTTATTTATTTTTATATGGTGCTGAGGATTGAACATAGTGCCTCACAGGTGCTAGGCAAGTGCTCTATCATTGAGCCACAACCCCAGTCCCTGTTTTCCTCATTTTTAAGGCATATTTTATGATCCATATGGGTTCTTGCTTGGTGATTGTGCTGCATAAGCTTGAGAAGATAGTGTGTTCTGCTATGGTTGTGAGATGTATTTTAAAGAATTTGTTTTGCATTGTTGCAGAATCTCCAGGTTTATTCCAGTGCTTTGAAACTTTTCCTCACACGTTTGGTGGATGGGTCTTCAGCTAAAGACTTGAGGATGCTTCCCAAGGACCTCACACTCTTCTTGAGTCTTGTTCCTCTGATCATCCCAGATGCCCCCTTCTCCACTGTGTTAGTAAGACCACTGGGCTCCACCTGCGTCCCCATTTGGACCACAGCCTGGAAACTCTTGGGCTGCAGCTCATCTCATCTGTTCCCAGTCTTTCACGGATTCCTCTTCTCTGTAACTTGATGCCCATGTTTGAACAACGGTTGTTCAATATATTCTCAGTGTTCTTTTTGTTGTTTCTGGTTGGGAGGAAAACCATGCAATCCCTGTTATCTCCATCTTAGCACAAAGAGGAGTTTCTAGATAACGACAATATCACCTTTAATCAACGGTTGTAGATATTCAGTGAAGAGGCCATGGTTTTAGTATTATGTAACTTAACTTAAATAAATGACATTTAGTCCACCCT